CTTGGACAAAGAGGTCCAACTAGTTTCAGATGTTTGCACTAACCGGCTAGTCAATGTTGCCAGCTTGCTAATATTTAGGACTACCTGACAATTGGCTAATTTCTCCCCTTCTTCCTTTTCTCCCTCCTAACCCCTGAGACTGTGGTGTCATGGAGGCCCAGACCCAGAGTACCACTGACAGTTCTGATTTATTTCAACATTTCAGCAGCTTTCTCATCAGCAGTGTCTTGGGCTCATGCTTTGACTTTCAGAGCCAGAACTATTGTTTTATGAGCCTGACATTTTTTTTTTCCCTGACCTCAACTGACAGCTTCTGGCCCCTTGCATGCACTTAGGTAGGTTGCTGTTTTTATTTATGATTTATGCTCTTCTGCTTGGCTCAAACTCCTTGATTTGTGATCTGGTCACACCTGCATTGCTCTGTCTAATGTGAAATCTTATCTATTTTTCTAGCATCTCTCTTTCTGTCCATGACATTTCTTTGGCTTCTTGAACTTTCATTTTGCTTTCACTCCTTCGTATTACAGATTTGAAATGTCTACATTATACCAACAAGGAATAGCAATCAGTTCAAAAGAGAACACTGTGAACCATACCTTATGTATTTAAAGCACTTTATGATTATAAAGAGCACCTGCACACAGAGTATCTCACGTGATCCTCACAACAACCCTGTGAGGTAGGTGGTAAGACGTCCGTTTCATAGGGAAGGGCGTGGAAGTGGTGAGATACATACAGGCATACTACTCAAAGTTCTACTAGACCCTAATGCTGTGAATTCCGGGATTATGTGTTAAACCTTGATGGAAGGAGGAGTTGAGAAAATGTGACCTATTAATAGAGAGATAGTCAAGAATGACATGGAATCCCACATATTTCCTATTCTTTTTTCTTGATCTTCCTTTTCTAATCTTTCATCCTTTCTCATTTTTAGCCCTTTCTTCAACTACACAAAATATTTCCAGTTCTACTAAAATATTTCTTTTCTCCAGGATCTATATTCAATATTTATAGCACAAGATATAAAGAGCTTTTTAAAATTTATATATATATATATATATATATATATATATATATATATATATAATCAGCATTACTTTTTAATGACAAAAAAATTATTACTTGAAATGGCTAGGTAATTTAAGAAAACAAGTTTTGTTTTTTATTCAAAATGTGTTCAAGGAACTATTACCTCACTATAAATCTTGGAAAAAAAATGCTGTAATTTGGTAAGAAGACAAGAAGGTAAACTAAGCAAATCAAAATCAATTTATCTTTTTAATCTCCTAAGGAATTAAATATTTTGATCTCTTCTGAACACCTATAGAGAGCCCTGTTCTTCCTCCAATACAGTTCCACTATACTTTATAATTGCCTATTCACATGTCTATGTCTTTCAGAGATGATTAACTCAGTAAGCCAGATACAACAGCAATCTTATTAGCTGTGAAGTTCAACTCCAGGAGGTATAATATAAACATATGTTGAATGAATGAATGGATTTTCTCTTATGTTATCCCTATTGCTGGTTGAGGCATAATTTTAAAGTAAAGAACCCACATTTAGTCAGTACCCATGGGATTTCTCTTAGACCCCAATGGACTAAATTGGTTCTGCAAGCACTGGAAGAGTGGGTGGCAGAGGATACCTTGCTTGGCGCTGAGGGCTGGTTGGAAAAACATGCCAGTCATACAATTAGGAATGCTAAGGGGTGGTAGTGATGGTGGGATACTAGAGTAGGGAAAGGTATGAGCATAAGAACAGAGGCCCAAACAGTACCCAGGACCAGTAGAGGAAACCAGGAGGAAGCTGGGCACCACGCGGGAACCAAGGTTGTTTGGAGGAGCCACAAAGGGATCTTGGAGTCAGTTGTAATGGTGACTTGTCCAGAGGTGAAGGGTCTTTTAATGAGATGGTAGCAGAAGGTGTCCCATCAGCCCACCTGATCTTAAAAGGGTCCTGCCCTAATATGATCAGGGAGTGATACCGGTCCTGACACGTATATAAAAGAGGAAATCAATTATTATTTGTATTATATTTAAATCATGCCTGAAACATATAAAAACTGTATATTAAAATAATTTAATATAGATTTTCATATATCAGAATCAATTGAAGATGTGGGGAATCAGGCACTTTCATACAGAATAAATTGGTACAATCTTTTAGGAGCCATTTGCAAGAATCCATCAAATTGCAAAATGCATGTCATTTTTGAACTATTGATTCTACTTCTGGAAAACTCTCTCTACTAAAAAATATTCCCACAAGATCATGTATAAGAATGCTGTAGTTAGCATTGTTTATTAAAGCTATTTCAAAGCAAAAAAGAAAAATCATCAAGTGTTCATGCCTAGTGAACTGAATGATATGTTATGATAATTACGGAATGGTTGTACAATGGAATGATGTACATACATTGAGAACAAAAAGATGGAGCCATGTGTACTGACATGGGCAGATGACTGGCATATTAACTTTAAGTGAAAAGCAGAACATATTGTATAGATGTTTTTGAAACATCATAGAGTTATATACTCTCCGTGGAGTCTGGAGGCTATATGTACTTATATACAGAAATATCTCTCTTAATGCTTTGACAAAGAAAGAGTGCCCATGAACTTCAAACATCTATGAAAGTATCTGAAATTGAAAACATTTCTGAACACATCTAAAAAGCATTTGGTAACCTCAGGCAACAGAAGACTGTGTGGATGTGTTTGCTTTACACACTGCAAAATAAAGAAGTCCTGTATTTGCCAAGATTAACCAGTCATGGTTAAGAGCTCAGAGAAAGTCTCAAGAAAAGGAGAAAAGGAGATAAAGAAGAGCCAAAGACAAAGGTAAGATAATGATAGAGAAAAACATAAAGACAGGGAAGAGTGAGTGATACGAGGGGCTCGACTGAAAATAAATGGACGACAAGGAGAAAGGGGGAAAAGTGGGGGGAAAGTATACAGTAGTTCAAAGTGATCAAAGGAAAAAAGATATACTAATGTCTCTACTATCTTAATATAATAACAACACTAATAATCATTGAATAACACTAAAGCACTTTGAGGAGAAACACAATGCTAGTATTACTTAATTCAAGGGCAAAGAGATCAACAATGCAAAATTGATGAAAAAGTCATGTGGTTATACATACTTTAATGCCTGGCATTCACAATGGTGACGCTAAATTTTCTAAAGGTGGCATCCACACACAGCATTAGGTTAAAATAATTACTTTTGTTAATGCAGAGAAATTGGTACTGTATTTTTAAATGATAATTATTATGAAAAACTGTTTTTATGTTAAAGAATTTGCCATAATTTGTATATTGATTCTACTTCTGGGAAATTCTCTATTAAAAATATTCCCACAAGATCATGCATGAGAATGCTATATGTAGCACAGTTTATTAAACCCAAATCTAAGCAAGCAAAAATCTTCAAGTGCTCATGACTAAAGGATTGAATGATATAGTGATTACTGTATAGCTGTACAATGGAATAATGTATAGCCATTGAGAGCAAAAAGGTAGAGTCATATTACTGACATGGGTAAGGATTATGATCCGTGTGTATGTGTATCAGCTATTCCCACAGACATACACACAAACACCTTAAGTAGCTCCTATTGGGAATCCAGGGGAGCAACCCTTGAATTTTGAGAAGTAGGAATTCCTTATTCATTTTCATAATCCTTTCATTATATCTATGTAGATTTGGCCAAGACAGTGATTGCCTTTGGCATATTGAAGACATCTTGCCTAGTATTTAGTTTGGAAGGCCCAATTTACAGATTCTCTATACTGCAGTATGAGATTAGCCTCCATTGAACAGAGATTCCTTTTGTGAAATCTCTTCTTTTGCAGTTTTGAAGGTCTCTGACACAGAATACCACTTTTCACATTTTTAGTTAAATAAAACAAAACACAAAACCCCCAGCCATCTGAGAATTAGTCTGTCAGGGTTCTCACATTGTCCAGGTTCCTATATTAATATTTCTGTTGGCTCAGGTAACAGGTAAGGTGGCTGTAATTATTCCTTCATCAGATAGAAATTGGCTTAACCTGTTAACCTGGGAGTTCCCTTTTTAATGACGCAACCTGTAACGGGCGCGTACTCTTTCACTAGGACGTGTCAGTACATCACGCCCGGAGGACATAATTTCATATTATTTTTTTTTATTTATATTTAATGAAAATAAATGAAATATATATATATATATATATATGTTAGTTTATTTATATATATAAAGCACAAAGGAAAATACAAAATTACAAAAAAAAAAAAATAGAAAAGAATACCGACAAAAAAAAAATGGACACATCGAATTAAAAAATTATAAATTTTACAAACAATGATAAAGATTACAAAAAATAGCCAAAACCAGTTTGGCTCAGTGGACAGAGTGTCGGCCTTCGGACCTAAAGGTCCGGGGTTCGATTCCGGTCAAGGGCATGTACCTTGGTTGCCGGCACATCCCCAATATGGGGTGTGCAAGAGGCAACTCTCTCATCTCATCGATATTTCTAACTCTCTATCCCTCCCCTTTCTTTCCTCTCTGTAAAAAATCAATAAAATATTTTTAAAAAAGATTACAAAAAATATATACCGTCCCTCTTGGGGCGCAACATATATTTCAAGGACGTATTCATACGTCCTACCGGTCCCTGATATTGTTTACGTTTGACGTATTTATAGGTCCCGCTCGGTTAACAGGTTAAAAATTGAACAGTTTTCTACATGGACTTTTTAGAAAATTGTGCTCATCACAAAACCAAAGCACAAATGGGTAATGAGATTCAAAGTGTTATACAATTTTAATCTATTTGTTTTACTCCAATTAGCACACTGTCTGTGTGGAAAATGGGGCTGACTTCCAGACTCTCTATGGATCAATGTTGAAGTTCTTTCTCAGCCGTTGCCTCAAGCCCAGACCTTTACTATCAAAGCTTGTTTATTACAGAGGTGCACAGAAAAAACAAAAAAACAAGAAACTATAAACTTACATGCCATGCTTCTACTCCCCTTTTCCCCTTTCTGGCCTTTTTGTCCAGGATTTCCTTGGGGGGAAATAGAAAAAGAAAACAAACAGAAAAACGCTTTTTAAAATACTGACAATTCACAATGCTTACTTTAAATGGAGACAGAACATCACAGAGTAATCTAGAATATCACTTTATAACAACCTGCAGAATTCTAATATAATGCTAATGTTGATGATGGTAATTATTATTATATTATTCTAGAAGCCCTATTACAAACCTGGCACTGTTCTGGGTAGATCCTTTACACACATTATCTTAAATAATGTACAAGGGCATTAAATATCCATTTTCCTACAAGAAGGCAAAACTAAGGTGTTAATCAACTGGGTTTGGACTTATTCATCTTCTTATAAAATAAATATTCCTGTTTCTTTTTTAAAAAAATATAGTTTTACTAGAGGCCCAATGCACAAAATTCATGCATGGGTAGGGTTCCTAGGCCTGGCAGCCAACCAGGGCCAATCTGTGGGGCAACTGGTGGGGTGATCGGGGTCGGCACTGGCACACTCATTGGCCATTGCCACCTCGATAGACCCTCTGCCGCAGTTCCTCCCTCTGCAGGGCGATCAGCAGGGCAAGGCGGGGGAGGAGGGCTTATAGAAGGGGCTGCTGGCATCCTCCTTGGCTGGCCTGGGGCCTGCAGGCTGGGGGCAACTCCTGTGTTGAGTGTCTGCCCCCTGGTGGTCACTGTACATCATAGCGACTGGTCATTCTGCCATTTGGTAGATTTGCATATTAGGCTTTTATTATATAGGATTGATTTCAGAGAGGAAGAAAGAGGTAGAGAGAGACAGAAAACATCACTGATGAGAGAAAATCATGGATCGGCTGCCTCCTGCACACTCCCTACTGGGAATCGAGTTTGTAACCCGGGCACATGCACTGACTAGGAATCAAACCGTGACCTCCTAGTTCATAGATCCACACTCAATCATTGAGCCACACTGGCTGGTCATTATTCATCTTAGTTGTTCTCTTGACTTTGCCTTACTCCCTACCCCAGGAATCCTGGTGACTTCCACCTCAATCTAAGCTGTGTTGTTCTATTCCCATTACCATTTATCTGTCTTCTTTTCCATCTCCTTAGAGTGGTGCATCCCAAAGACTTGGCTGTGAACAAATTTCTGGGCATGCAATCCATGACCTACTGAATCAAACCCAGCAGTCTGTTTTAACAGCCCCTACAGATGATCAAATTCCATGCAATTTTCAGGTCTGCGCTAACACTAACATGTTTTGCTGCACAGAATCAATCATTCTCTACTCTCTGCTCCCATAGCATTTTGTCCTGCTTCCTACAGGCTTATGACTTAGCATATTGCATCAGAGCTAACTGCTTCTGCATTTCTCTATGGCCATTGACAGAAGTGACTATGCTATATTTATCTTACCATGATTTTCCAAGGACAGTAAATGACCAGCTATTTGAGATACGTAACAGGCTAATACACCATTTTCATTTTAAACTTAGAATACAGATGAAACAGGAACTTTTAGGGGTAAAAAGGACAGGCTTTGGGAAATTTTAGAAATTAAAAGAAGAGAAACACAGGACTGCAGAGCACCAAAAGGTATCCTAATGTAGACTATAACTTTTATTAGTAATAATGTATCAATATTGGTTTACCATTTGTAACAAATGCACCAGTCTAAGGCTAGTTATGAATAATAGTGGTAACCGGCCCGGTCAGTTTTTGAGCTTTGACCTATGAACCAGGAGGTCACAGTTAGATTCCCAGTCAGGACACATGCCCAGGTTTCAGGATAAACCCCCAGTAGCGGGTGTGCAGGAGGCAGCCCATCAATGATTCTCTCATCAGTAATATTTTTATTTCTACTTCCCCCTTTCCTTCCTCTCTGAAATCAACAAAATATATATTTAAAAAATAAAAATAATAATGGTAACTATTCTTGGATAGGTGGTATGTATTTTCTGTACAATTTTTCTATAAACCTAAAACTACTCTAAAAACACACTATTTTTTAAATAATAAAGATCATATTCTTTTGGTCATAATTTAAATTGGGAAAAAATAAACCTGCTCAAGTCTAAATGTCTGTGCAAAGTTAATAATTCAAGCTTAAGCTACTGAGTAGTGTCAGGACTAGAAATAATATCATCATGTATGTAAATCTTAAAGGACATGGATAAGGTTGATTATTAAGTAGTACTATATAACAGCAGGCAGTTTATCTTGCATAGGATAGAATTTCAGGCTCATCTGTATTTTGCTAACTATACTGTAAGAGGGTTTGGCTGGTTTTGGTTAAAGCAATATTTGTACTTTGCTTGTTTGTCTTTGCCAGTCTTTTCACACTCTTTGTTCTAAAATAATTGTATAGATACCATTCTTCATGGTGACTTCTGGTTGTGTGGAGTTTATAAATCCTCTGTTGTTGTTTTTTAACTATTTCCCTTCGGGACATAGAAACTTTCCTCAGGACAATAATAACCAGTTTCAAAATGTTTCAGACAACTAAATGTATTGCATTTGGGTGCTTCTATTCATACTGTGATGACCATTGCTACATGAGAAGCTGAAAAAATAGCTACGATCCCGTATTTATTTTACATATTCGATGAAGAAAATACAGTTATCGTCATACCTTGTCTCCCGGTCTTCCCTGCTGGTCCTATGAATCCTCGATTTCCAGGAAAGCCAATTGGCCCCCGATCACCTTTAGGACCTGGAGGACCTGCATGGTTAATGAATAAAAAGAAAATGAGTACAATGAAACAATATAGTGTCATTAATGAATATGATATAGGTAAATCTCCAAAGAATAGAATATTTCCTAAAATTCTATATACTATATCTAAACAGTAAGTAGAAACATCCATTTTACATCAGTAGGTAGTAATATGAGTGTACTTAGTACATTGTAGGTTGTCAATAAATAGCATTGTTATTACAAATAAAAACATATCAGGGGGAAAAGTCTTGGTGTTTTAACCAGAGGGCTTATGTTATCTAATCAGGAATTTTCAAATGGCAGGATTTGCTGTAACTATAATGATAACTTTTATTTTTATTTATTTTATTATTTAAAATATATATATATATATATATATATTTTATTGATTTATTTGAGTCTCGCCATCTTGTGGTTATGGAAGCCACAATCTTTGTTATGGTGTGATGGTCAATTTGCATATTCCCTCTTTATTAGACAGGATAATTATTACCCTGTTTCCCAAAAATAAGACAGTGTCTTATATTAATTTTTTTCTCCCAAAGTTGCACTAGGTCTTATTTTCAGGGGATGTCTTATCTTTCCATGCGCTAGGTCTTATTTTCGGAGGATGTCTTATTTTTGAGGAAACACGGTATTTCACCCGCCTTTTGTGAAGGCTGCTAAATTTAGTTTTTATTTAATGTATGTACATAGTTAGCAGTGCCATTTTTTAAATTTATTGGCACAACATGTATATTTTAGCAAGCGCTATGCTAAGGACATATGCTTGGGGCGGGGCCTCCCTAGGTCAGCCTGGCAGTAGGATTGGCTAGAATAAAAACATGCCTGGAGATAAAGTCTGATACAATAAGGTTCCTGGACTCCAACATCTGACATAAGGATAGTGTTCCTTTCTCCTCCAGAAGCATGATCCATGGTGGAAAATACAGACCACATAAGAAAAGTTAACAGCCCCAGGGGGTGAGAATTTTACAGCCAAGGAGTCTTTGGTCACCTCTCAAGGCATCTTATGAAGGTCGTACCTCCTGTGCATACAGGTCAGGCAGCCCTGTGATCCCACAATGGGAAGAAACGGTCCATTGAATGGCTACCAAGAGGTTTCTTTAGGAACTAGGAGGTGTTCTTCCAAGCATTCCCGACATGATGAAATTTCCCCAAAAGTGCCCCCCTCCCAAAATCTCATGTGAGATCAGGAATCCTTGGTCATGAAATTCATCACTGTTATATAATTACTCATCATCCTGTATGGTCTGTGAAGACAGAAACTGTATTTCTGTGCACGGGATCCACAGAGGCTTATAAAGAACAGAATCTCGAGTAAAAGGCAATAATTTCCCTGGCATAACTCCAAGGAAATGACACTCTGAAATGAATTTCTATCGTATTATTTTGAGGTAAAGCATATTTTAGCATAATATCCACGCTGTACATAGGTAAAATTGTGATGGTATTATTTAAGACCACTAGCATAACCAGTGAAGTTTCTCAGATTCTCATATTGTTGGTGTGAGTTTAAGTGACTTTGACTTTGTCAAGCTGAGTTTAGGGGTTTCATCAGATGTACAGGTGGAATTTTAATAAACTTGCTCAAATCAGGAAGTAGAATTATCCTGACAGTCCATTATATATTCTTAACGTCTTTATTCCAGTACCGAGAGTATGGCCTGTTTAAGCAATTTGGCAGAGGACAACACAGAATGCAGCAATTAAGGAAGGAGGCATTCATTAAGAGAGATGCCTGATGACATGGGTACTTCTGCTACAGTCCACTGAACCACCTCCTCAAAGAGTCCGCCCCCACAAACGAAAGCTTTCTGGTATGAGGGCCTGGATAATGCCTATTTGGGTAAATGAGCAGTGCCGACAGCACTAGACTAAGCCCTCATTCCATGAATCAAAGCAGCTTTGCCCTGGCATCTGTTTATGGTGTTAACGAGAGCTAAGGCTTGTAAGTCCTTCTTTTGTGTTTCATGCATCCATACTTCAGAAAGAGCTGCAGAAGATGCTCCCAGGTGAGGCTTTCTCCGCTTTTATGGCTGAATTATAAAGCTGTGACAACCGTGCTCTGTGAGGGAGGAGCTGACAGGCCTCTGACCATAGCAGATCTGGCAGCTGACCGACTACTACTGGTTACTTCACCTGCTTATGCCATTAATGCACCATTATTAAGATCTGCTTAATGCTAGTCAAGTAGAAAGACTTTTCTGAATAAAAGATCTTACCTGACAGTACTTTCCAAAGCACACAAACAACCCATTAGATATATCATAGATTTTTTTTTTCTTTAAAATGATTTTTTAAACTTTTCCCACATAAATGTCATATAGTGGCTTTTTAAACACAATGATATAAAGGTCAGGCAGGTGTAAAATCCATGCTTTTCATTTTTAAAAATTATTTTTCTGATGTCACCTGCGGTGGTCAATACATTGATTGCTGGGGGGGGGAGGGGAGGGAAGAGAGTATTTCATATACTCAGAAGACAGAAAAATAAGATGAAATACATGATAGACACTTTTATCTGCACAAACTACCTAGTTATAATTAGACCATGCAATATACTCCCCACTTTCAAAAAGCATGTAGGTAGTTGATTTCTAGCCAAGAATAACATGACAATCATGTTATTGTTACTGTCTTCTTTATTTTCTTGCGAGCAAAGAAAGTTTATGCTCTTTTGCCTTTTCTGTCTTCTACGATCTTCTTTCAAAATATTGCTTTCAAGATTACAACATAGAGAAGAATCATTTGAAACAGTTTTGCTCTAACTAAAATACAGAGAATGTCTGACAGCACAGAAAAAAATCACCTGCATTCTAGTCAGTATTTACATTTGGATTTCGTAGGTTTATGCAGATGCATTCCACGTAAGGGCCATACAAGGAATATAAGCGAACTTGCTTTTGACTTATATTAATGAATATGTTTGCATCCTAAAAACCAGGTAGCTTGCAAATATATTCCAAGTGAAGATGATTTTACTGTTCTCCTTCACAGAGAGCTAAAGCTAGATCACTGCCTTATACTGTCTTCAGCCCATGGTAGAGAGAGCCTCCTACATGTCTGAGGTTTATGAACCACTCTATGTGGCTGTTCTGGCTAAAGCGTTTAACTTTCTTCCAAATCAGTGTTTGCCATTCAGTACATGATAGTGATTAGGTGGCTGGAACAGGTAACGTGCCCTTCAATGTATAGACACACTGCGCACATTCATGGACGTGTATATGACCGAGAGGTTTCTGTTATCATACCCACTGGACCTGGCATGCCTGGAAGGCCAGGTTGTCCAACGAAGCCTGTGTCTCCTTTTTCGCCTGGGGGTCCGGGAGGCCCTTTAAAAATATATTATAATTACTGGTTGCAGTTTTAAAACCTAGGTAAAATGAACTTGTCATCTATGAAGATAATTGCATAAGTAAGTACAGAGTTTGTCATTTGTTGCGCAATAATGCAGAATAAATAAGGCTAAAGCCGTACCCACATTGAGTCATGCAATGCCCTAGCCTGGTAAAAATGAGCCAGCCCTAAATTGGACAACCTAATTATCTATAAATATTTATGAGTGCCTAGCCACTTTCCCAGGTTCTCAGAAGCTGAGGGCAGAGAAGAGACAATGAGTCAATGATGGCACAACCCCATGTGGTATTGTGCACATGCTCGACATAGTTCACTGTGTTGAGTTCCATACTGTGTAAGAAATGTATAAGCACTTATAACTCATGACAGATACCCTCAAGGGAAACAACACCGCACATACTAGACAAACCAAACAATGTTGAAAGTGACAAACTCCGGTATTTGATAGGTTCAGATCAGCATGGGAAGCAATATTTGAAAAGGCTTTATTGAGGGCGTGGGGTTTGCAGGATATTTTAAACACCAAGTAGAACGACATGAAAGAAAATTCTGGGTAAGTGGGAGAGATGTGGGGAATGGCAGGCAGGTGAAAATGAATATAGTTTTTCAAGTAAAATATTACTTGAAAATATTACTGAGAAATAGATCTATCTATCTATCTATCATTTAATTGGAGGGGTTGCAGGGAATATTAATGACTACTTGGCCTCATAATTTTCAAGATGTCCCTGAATACTGAGTAAGAGCAACACTAATACAGTCATTTTAATTTTCTGTGCCCAGTAAAAACAGATATAAGATATGTGTTGATCATTTCTTTAGAATGATGGTACTGAGCATGTCTTTAGAACCTAAAGGTATCCTACTAGTATTCTCTCTTCCATTTAGAGTGCACAGGGCAAAAATATTATTCCCTATCTGTAAAGTGAAACACTTAGCAATTTTCTTTTCTGTTCTAAGAAGAAGAAAACAAACCAGAGGCATCATCCTGTCCTGTATAATAAAAGGGTAATATGCAAATTGACCATAAAGGTGGACCGACCAGGAACGCCTGGTTGCTATGATGCACACTGACCACCAGGAGGCAGACACTCAGTGCAGGTGCTGCCCCCTGGTGGTCAGTGCACTTCCACAGGGGTAGCACCGCTCAGCCAGAGGCCCGGCTCATGGTTGGCCAGTGCAGCAGCTCCTGCCTTCACTGTAGCTTTAAGGATGTCCAATTAATGGCTTAGGCCCAGGGATTCTGGGCTGCCAGAGGGATATCTAACTGCCAGCTTAGGCCTGATTCTCCACTCCCCACTCCCGGGAGCGGGCCTAAGCCAGCAGGTGGACAACCTCCAAGGGGTCCCAGACTGCAAGAGGGCACAGGCTGGACAGAGGGGGCCCTCCCCCCCTGATTATGAGGGGACACCTCCCCCTCCCCCCGCCCCACACCACAAGTGCACGACTTTTCATGCACGGGGCCTCTAGTCTATACATATAAAAAGCTAAGTGACTTGACTGTCCATCTGCCCAACCAACTGGCCAGTACACATGACATGCACTGGCAATTTAAAAAATAAGCGTTGACTTGTGCACGCACAATACATATAAAGCTCTCGCCAATTGCATGTGCGTGTTTCAATCTGTCATTGTCAATCGTGAATTTGGTTGACGCTCTATTATAAAGGGTGAATAGTGGATATTAAAAATATTTCTTCTAGCCCTAACTGGTTTGGCTGAGTGGATAGAGCGTTGGCCTGCGGACTGAAAGGTCCCAGGTTCGATTCTGGTCAAGGGCATATACTTTGGCTGCAGGCACATCTCCAGTAGGATGTTTGTGGGAGTTAGCTGGTCAATGTTTCTCTCTCATTGATGTTTTTAATTCTTTATCCCTCTCCCTTCCTCTCTGTAAAAAAAAATCAATAAAATATACATTTTAAAAAAATATTTCTTCTAATTAATTTTCTTTCAATGTGCATGAATCCTTGCACCAAGCCACTAGTAGAATGTTTTAAAAGAGGCATTTTCGACTGCTATGGTTTGGCCACATACAAAGCCCAAGGACAACACACAACTACAGTTAGCATCATTGGTTAGAGTGTTTGTTTACAAATTCTAATTACGTTTGGAGATGTAACAATGGAAGAATTCTGAGAGGTGGCCACATAAATAGGTAAAGATTATTTCATGAGTAAGTATATTCATCCATTTCCTTTGTTTCTTTTGAAGTCCTTGTTTTTGCTTCTCTCTATTTTTCTGATCTGTTCCATTTTTTTTTTTAAGGTATAACTTGTGTTTTGGAACCTTCCTTTCCTGCTTACTTAGTATTCATATATCATTATTCTTCTCAATTGTACATTGTCCTTTTTTAATATATGCAACATTGAACAGTAATGTTTTATTTTATTTTCATTACAAAAGCAACTCTATTCTAGAAAATATAAAAGCCTAGAAAAGACATGAGAGAAAAATATAATTTATAATTCTATCATCTTAAGACAACAGCACTGTACATTTTTCTTGTATTTGTGTATATGTTGTCCATTTTTGCACATTTTTCACATAATCATCATGCAAGCTACATACTACTGTGCATTAAATAATTAACTAGCAAATTCTCCTAAGCCATAGCTTATTGTTGGAAACATATATTTAGATGTTCCACAAGAAATATGATTCTACTAGTATATCAGTGGGGATCTGTGTGCATGTCCTAATCTATGTGAAATGCAGTTCTTCCCAACAAAGGGAGTTTAATTTCTCACCATGCACACAGCAGCAGGTCATTCTCCACACCGTGATGATAGAGGGGCAAGTAGGACAGAAAGATTCAATTTGCATCCCGAGTTTCTCTGATCAAATGAAAGGAAGAAATCCATGGTACCCAAGGATGGTGTTGTTTTTAAAAAGAAGTGGACAAGCAAAAACTTTGATTTAATCACTCAGCCTCTCTAAAGCAGAGAAAATTAGAATGTGTGAGATAAGAAATGAAGGGCAAAGAGACTAGATCTAGGCTCTTAGCCTCTGAAATAAAAAGTTTTCACCATTTCTGTGGTACGTAAGAAATGAACTTCATAATCACTAATTATCCTTTCAGTTATTTTGCATGTAACTATGTATAATAACTGCATACAGCTCTAAGGTTGGAGCATTAGTTCAATCATAAGGAACATCATGCTAAGTGAAATAAGCCAAGCACAAGTTCCATATGATTTAACTAACAAGCAAAATAGAGACAGACTCATAGACAGAAAGCAGGCTGACAGCTTGGCAAGGAAGATGGGGGTTGAGAGGTGGAGGGATTGAGCAGAAGAGAAAATTAAGAGAAAGATCTCATGGACTCAGATAACAGTGCAGTGTTACACTGGGGGAAGGAGGATGTGGGTGAAGGTAAATGAGGGGATGGGGGATAAATGGTGATGGAAAAAAAATATATATATATACACTTAAATAAATAAGGATATCAGAAAAAACATGTTATTTTATTATATTCTGAGTTAAAAATCTCCCTCTTTCTGCTTTAATGTAATCATACTGATACTAATTGGCAGTTACAAAATAGTTGTGAATATGTAAAGTACAGCAGAGGGACTACAGTCAGTAACATAGTAATACCTGCGTACCATGTCAGGTGGGTAGTAGAAGACTAATCAGGGGATCACTTCATAAGTTACATAAAAGTCTAGCCATTATCCTGTATACCTGAAACTAATGTAACATTGATTAAAAACTGTAACTGAAAAATAAAAAATAATTTAAACAGTAAGTAAATAAAGGCATTTCTTTAAACAACAAAGACAATAATAATCACCTGATACCAGGAATCTCAAAGTAAGGAAATCAGGTTAATGTTTCCCTTAAGGAGTTTTAACTAGGTATGTTAGATGCTACTTCTTTGTTCTTATTTTTCTTTGTTTTTCTTTTAATATTTTTTATTGATTTTTCACAGAGAGGAAGAGAGAGGGATAGAGAGAAACATCGATAAAAGAGAATCATTAATCAGCTGCCTCTTGCACACCACCTACTGAGGATGTGCCCACAACCAAGGTACATGCCTTTGACCGGAATTGAACCTGGGACCTTTCAGTTCGCAGGCCGATGCTCTATCCACTGAGCCAAACCGGTTCCAGCTGTTCTTATTTTTCATATATCATTAATGTCAGTCACTATATTATATTTTATTTTTAGCCATTGTTATATCTCTTCTATTGCTATGAAAAAAATGTGAGTAATATTTAAATAAATGTTTTGTGTCTTAAATAGTTTGAGCATATAAAAGTACACAGATCATGAACCACTTTTCTCTTAGCTTCTTGCATAGAACTTTTGAACACATAATGCTCTCATGCTACTTTCCAAAACTGCTTTCCTTTCCATCTCTAGTAGTTCACATGCCCGTCATCTCTCAGCTGATGATTCTAGATATTTTTTAAACTGGTCTGAAAGTATTTTGTATATTTCACCCTCATATTTCCTTCAGTCAGCTTAAAAATTGTGTATCTCTATATCTATCATCTATCTATCTATCTATCTATCTGTCTCTCCAATTCAATTATTAAAAAATGTAGCAATCTACTCTGCCATGTTATGGGGGGGAAAAAAGAATGAAGATCTTTAAATTAGGAGAGTTAGAATCTATCATAGTCACCTTCTTTGTTCTGAGTTACTATTTAGCCTCTCAAAATTCTGTTCCATAATCACAACAATATCACCTATATGCATAAGTAAATGGAAATAATGCTAAATGTCAACTCCCTTGCTAGCATATGTCAAAAAAATGAGATTGGTATAGGTCAAAATATATTATTTGCCCTAGTTAAAAAAGCTGTAAGCATTCACATTATTATTTTTTCATTTTATACCTCCTAACTGCAAAGTTACAGGAATAATTATTAAATGCTATAGCAAAAATGTTTCATGAACAATTCCCTTTATAGAACACACATAAAAAATCCACTATTTAGCTCCTTCTCTAATTTTTTTAAAAAAAAGG